GAGAGAGAGAGAGAGAGAGAGAGAGAGAGAGAGGAGGGAGAGGAGAGGGAGCGAAACAGGTATTTGGTGGGCAATATATTAATTCAGACTTCAGAGTCTGAGTGTTACAAGTTTGGCTCCAATGGCCCACTTTTTGGAACAATGAACTTTGATGGGGATGGCCAGTATAGGCTGATGTGACTGATGGTGGTCTCTCTTTGGAATCAGTGCAAGGGAAGTGAAGTTTAACTCCCTTCCTATATGTGACAGGCACTTTTTGCATCATTTTCTTTGTTTCTTTAAACTGCTTTTATTTCCTGATTTTGTCACCTATAAACTAACACCAGTCGTAGGTGATATGTGACTCATGTCTTTAATGAACTTCATGTGGTAGGGGGGAGGGAGACTGAAATGGAGAACACCAGTAACTAGTTGGCTATACACAGGACTGAGGCGGTCAAAGGTTTAAACCTCTATTAAGAACACTAGAGTCTTTTTTCTCTAGCTGGGGGCTAAGAAAACTAGGATGGAATTTTATGATTTTTAGTTGAAAAATAATTCTTTTAACTCCTAAATAGCAGAGATAATTAAACCCTGTAATGAAGCCCTCTAGGCTTCATTGGTGAGCTGGATTCAGGTGGCTTAGTTATAGCACAAGTATCTCAGTGAAGCTGTAGTCTCAGATATAAAGAGAGATATAGAGAAACAGATCAAGGCAGAGTCTCTCCTGAGATGCCCAGTGGGAGTTAAGAGTTATAATCTGGAAAGAATCTGTCTTGCCCACGTTCCTAAGGTGGGAAGAGGAACGAGTGACCACTTCATTCTTCTCCTGGTGCTTTCCACCCTAAAAATGCACCTGTTGCCAGCTGGCAGCAACAATTACTAGTCACACTGGCCATGCCAGGAGAAAGAAGATGCTTAGAGCAAGGATGAGACTGTGGTGGATAGGGTGGATGGGAAAAGAAACTGACAGCAGAGAGAAGACAGAGCTGCTCAACTCTTATTTTGCTTCTCTTTTTTTCTGCCCAGGAGGAGGGCCTTTGTCTGAGAGATGGGAGAACCAAAATAACTAATGGAGCTGATGCCCAAATCAAGCATGGAGATAGTAAAAGAACAGACTCAGCTGACTTTGATGAATTCAAGTCCCCCGGCCCAGATGGACTCTGCGTCTCCAACTCCTGAGAGACTGGCCAGTGTGACTGAGAAACCACAAAGCGGGAGAAGGGCAGATTGTCTGATTTTCAAAAAAAATGGGAAGAAACAATCTGTATATCGTAGGCCTGTGAGCTTAACTTTGATTCTGGGAAGAATACTAAAATAGATCATGACAGAAAAGGCGAGTGAACAACCACATAATGACATAGTGCTTACGATGGGCCAACTTTGGTCTTCTCAAGAACAGATCATGCCAAACACATTTCGCTTCATTTCTTAATAGGATTAATAAACTTGGAGATGAGGGGAATACAGTGGCTATAGATCATCTCGATTTTAGTAAGGTTCTTGATAAAGGATCTCATCCCATTTCCATGGAGAAGATGGAGAGATATGGGATGGACAATAATCTGATCAGATGGATTCAGAACTGGTTGTTAGTGATTCCATGTCAAAGTGATAGAATGTCCCCAGTGGAGGACCCCAGAGATCTGTGCTTGGTCCTTTGTGGCTTAATATTTTTATCTGTCACATCACCAGGCATCAAATTGGCAGCTGACACAAAGTTGGGAGAGAGAGCTGGCACATTGAGGGGAGGCAGATTCTGTATCTAAAAGTATTTTGGCAGGCTACAGTATTGGAATGGATTTAACAATAGGAAATTCAATAGGGATAAATGTAAAGTCTCATACCTGTGTACAAAAATTAGGTTGCCAAGTACAAAGTGACATGAGTCTACTTAGACAACTGTTGTTCTGAAAACAATCTGAGCCTTTTAATGGACTGCATACTCCATATGGGTCAGCAGTATGCTGTCACAGCCAAACAAGGTGCTGCAATCTTGGGCTACATTAAGGATGGTATGGCTTACAGGAAGAGGCAAGTGATAGTTGTCTTGCATTCTGCTCTTATCACACCTCATCTGGAGCTTTGCTGACCTCCAGTCTTGCATCTCCACCTGCCTTTCAGACATCTCATTTTGGATGTCCAGTAGACATCTGAAACTCAATGTGTCCAAAATGGAACTTTCCTCTTAATCTTTCTCCCTAAAATTTCTCCCCCTCTTCCCTTCCCTAGTATGCTATAGGGTAACACCATCCTCCCAATACCCCTGGCTCACAATCCAGGAGTCATCCAGGATTCCTCACTCACTCTGACCTCCCTTCCCCATCCAATCTGTTGCCAATGCCTGTCAATTTTACCTTTAAAGCATCTCTCAAACGCTCCTCCTTCTTTCCTCTGACACTGTTGCCACTCTAGTGCAGGCCCTCATCACCCCATATCTGAATTATTGTAATAGCCTACTGGTACATCTGCCAGCCTCAAGTCTTTCCCCACTCTAATCCATCCTCCATTCAGCCACCCAGGTGATTTTCCTAAAGCTCAGATTCAATCATGTCACCTCCCTTCTCCCTGATCACCATCCTGCAATAAACTCTCGTGGCTTCCTCTTGCCTCCAGGATCAAATATAAAATGCTCTATTTGACATTCAAAGCCCTTCACAACCTAGACCTCTCTTACCTTTCCAGTCTTCTTATACTTTCCTTCCTACTATGTACTTTTTGATCCAGTGACATCCTGGCTGTTCCATGAACATGACCCTCCATCTCTTGACTTCAGGCATTTTCTCTGGCTGTCTCCCATGCCTAGAACTTTCCCTCCTCCACTCCAACTGGCCTCCTTGGCTTCCTTTAAGTCTCAACTAAAACCTTACCTCCAGGAAGCCTTTCACAATCCCTCCTAATTCTAGTGCCTTCCCTCTGTTAACCTGTACATAGCTTGTTCTGTATATATTTGTTTGCATGTTCTTTCTCCCATTAAATTGTAAGCTTCTTGAGGGCAAGGATTGCCTTTAGCCTCTTTTTTTGTATCCCCAGCATTTAGCACAGTGTCTGGCATATAGTAGGCCCTTGATAAATGTTTATTAATTGATTTTTTTTCAATTCTTGGCATCAGGGTCTACAAAGAATATTGATAAGTTATATGGCATTTCATGGAGGGAAATCAGAGAGGTTAAGAGTCCTGAGGCTGTATCATATGAGGATCAGTTGAAGGAATTGGGTGCATTAATCTGGAGTAGAGAATGGTGAAATCATTCTTAAGGCAAGTTACAAAATTCATAGTTGCTCTGTTCAGGATGGAGAGAGCTCTAGCAAATGTCTGGATATCTGAAATCCCCTATTACCTCTCTATCATGCCTCATTGCCAGGTCTGTCAACTGTGAAATGACAGTTTCATGTGTTTGCTCTTTCTCATTCAGCTGTTCTCTGGTATAGTGGGATAACAATATCATGTCTGTTTCTCCCTCTGCTGCTCTTCAACCAGGTCTTCTCTACCATGTGTCCCCATTTATTCTTGGATTTCCTCACATTAACATATCTTATGCCTTACACTAACCATTCATATGTAATGCCATTTGGCACTTTCCTTAATTTTTAACCTATACTTTTCCTTTTAAATAAGGTATTCCCCACTCTTTCAGGTCTGGGTCTCATCCCACAAATTTTTGCAATGCCTATGAAATCAAATTTGCTTATAACCCTTAAGCTGCATATTTGTGTACAGATATCTGAGGACAGAGATATCCATATTTATCACTCCATGTCTTTTGACTGGCAGTCCCCCATGTCTGGAGGGCTCTTCCTCCTCACTTTCCTTCACTTAAGCTCTTCAGCACAGTGTCTGGCATAGAGTAGGTGTTTACTAAATGGTTGTTGCCTTGACTTACCTTCCTGGCTTCCTTCAAAATAGCTCAAATCCTATCTTTTTCAGGAAAACTTTCTTTTCTTCCCTATATCCTCTCCTCTACCTGATAAAGCCTTCTTCCTGAGACTATCTTCCACTTAGTATATATCACATATTACACAGGTATTTAACTGTCATTTCCCCCATTGGAATATGAGCTCCCTATCCTTACTGGGTTTATCACCTCTTCGAGGAGATAAGACTTATATGCATGAAACAGATAACATACTACATATTACATGACTAAATGTGAGCTCCTTGAGGGCTGGGATTGTTTTTGTCCTTAGTGCAGTGCCTGGTACCTGGGAGTGCTGGATAGATTCTTGTTAACAGATCGATTGCCTGACTGAATCACTGCTTTTCTTTCATCTCCCATAACTTCTGGGTATCTTTACTAATATTCTTGTAGCATTGCAGCTACTCTATGATTTCTAGTTTGGTATAGGCAGAGGCAGTTTTCTCTTCTCCTTCCCTTTGAATTTAAAGGGTTTTTTTATTAGATTTGCAAGACTCCAGGGAAATTTATTATTATTATTATTATTATTTTGCCAGCAATTATTCCACGCCTGACCAGGAGTTTGTCACTGCTATATTTTTAGTCATCATCTAAAAATCCAAATATTCTTTCAGACATGATCTTCTTGTTTTATTTTGTTTTTGCTAGGCAATGGGGTTAAGTGACTTGCCCAGGGTCACACAGCTAATAAGTGTCAAGTGTCTGAGGCTGGATTTGAACTCAGGTCCTCCTGATTCCAGGGCTGGTGCTCTATCCGCTGTGCCACCTAGCTACTCCTCAGACATGATCTTCTTAACTAACTGTTAACTCCCCACATTCCATTTCTTTTTCTATTCATTACTCCATTTTTCCTACTCTACAGTTCAGCCATATTTTCCTACTTGCTGTTCCTCCTACACAATGCTCCATTTCCCATCTCCCAGACTTTGCACTGGCTGCCCTCTTATGACTGGAATGCTCTTCCTCCTAACCTGCATCTCTTAGTATCCCTGCCTCCTTTTTCAAAAATTTATTTTTTATTTTTTAATTAATTTTTTTAGTATCCTTGCCTTCTTGAAACTCAAGTGTCATTTCCTTCAGGAGGCCCTTTCCTTATCCCCCAGTTGCTAGTGCTTTCATCTCTAAGGCTACCTTCTGTCTACTCTGTATGTTTCTTATATGTATCTCTTTATTTACATGTTGTCTCCCCCGTTAGAATGGACATTCCTTGAAGGCAGGGGGTGCACTTGTGTTATCTCATATATACCAAGCTTATAAATTTAAGTATTGGCAGGCAGTAAATGCTTTAAGAAGTGCTTTTTGGTTAATTGATTGAATTAGCCCAGAAGAACAAATGAAATTAAGAAAAGTTGATAACCTGTTGTTTCCTTTAACATTTAGGAGCGTTATTATTCCTAATTATTATTAATGGTTTTAATGGTGCTATGAACTTTAAGCGTTCCTCAGTACAAATACATATATCACTAAAAATCTGACTGATGTACTAAATTATGCTGAAATTCATTGATAGTCTATTTAGAAATTTGTATTGGGTTTCATTCTATTTCAGGATGGCACATTGGCTCAGAGTTAAGGTACATATTGAAATTCTTTAGAAGTATTAAAAGTCTGAGTTTTGTGGTAACAAAAATGAAATTAATGTGGATTAGGAAATGATTAAATAAATTGTGGTAGATTAATGTAATGGAATATTATAGTACCATAAGCAGTAATGAATGTGAGCAATTTAGAGAAGCATGAGAAGACTTGAATGAAGTAATACAGAGTGAAGTAAAAAGAATCCTGAAAAAAAAAAGGACACAACTGCAAGGTAAATGAAAAGAATATGAAAATAAAACTGAATACTGATAAATTATAATAATCAATCTTGGTCTCACACCAGGGATAAGGAAATACATCTCTTTCCTTTCTTTGGACAGATAGAGAACTGTGGTTGTAAAAATGTCACATAGGCTTTCAGATATGGTAGCTGTATCTGTTGGTTTTGCCTAACTATTTGGTGGGTGATGTCATATCTGGAAATGACCTGATACGAAAGGTGATGCAATGAATAGAGTGCTGGACTAGGAGTCAGGAAGACCTGAGTTTGGATCCTCCTCATATACTTACTAATTGTGTGACTGTGAACAAGTCATTCGACTTGTTCACAGTCATCTCAGTTTCTTCATCTGTCTAATGCGGACAACAAAAATACTTGCTTCATAGGGTAGTTATGAGGAACAAATGACTTAACAGATGTAAAGTACTTTGCAAACCTTATGGTCCTCTATAAATATACTAAATATTATTCCATAAAAACAAAAGGCATAGATAAAATACTATCTTTTCAAAGTATAACAAATTTGCTTCAAATCAAGGCTGCTAAAGTATTGAGGAATAAACAAAAAGAGAAATGGGAAACAGTGACCATTGAAATTGAAGCATAGACTTCCCTTTATTTGGCCCACAAAGATAAGTAAGTTAAAATTTAGCGAGTGCTTTGATGAAATAGAGCAACTACTTATAACAGCAAGAATAGTAGGTATTGTTTCTTGGGAATGCAGCGTGACACCTTGGACATTTCAGCAGTTGGTGTTTAAAAATAACCTGGGATTCAGGTTTTCAAGACCTTAGGGAAAGCAAAGACTACTGCCTCACCTACGAGAATGCTGTAGCCAGGAGTCATCCACAGGAGGAGGTGCAGGAGTAGACACAGTGGCACTGTTGATATCACCAATAATTACGAGGGCTTCCTTAAGGGCTTGGTACATTCGAAGCATCTCGTCACGGCGCTGAGCCTGCTCGGCAGACTCTTCCATCAAAGTGTTTTGGTCCTCTGAGGAATATAACTGTGCTAGGAGCTCTGAATTTATGAAATCTTTGACCTGTCATGTCACCAGAAGAAAACAAAAGAAAATGAGTGAGTGCATAGTCCAAACATTTTAGAGATATCCAGGGCAAGTGGACAAAACCCACTAATGTCCACTCTAAGACGGCATGTTTGTTTATCTTTGCTTTCTTTATTACCCATTTTTGTCTTCAGTACTGTTGCCAGTAACAGTTTTAATTCTTTCTGATGGTTGGTGACAATAAAAAATAATCTTGAGTGAATTTAGGGAAAGCCAAAAATTTGCCATCACTCTATTAGTGCCTGTTGATAGCTAAAGCAACCCCACAATGCTTTTTGAAGCACTATTGCCTAACTTGTGGCAAAAAGCAGTATTTTGACCAAGAAACCTTTCCTAGACATTTATAAAAAAGTATTGTAATATCATCCAGATACCAAGTTACAATGTTACCTGTCTTGGGATAGCATCAATTGAAAATATTTGTCTGAACTACATGGGGACTATGCTATATGTTTTATCAAAAAAATTAAACAGATCCAATTTCTAACCTCTAATAGTTTTTTGATTTAAGAGAGAGAATGCTGATTAGACCTGACCAACAGGATACTGAAAACTGAACCAATAATGAATAAGGACTGAGGGTAGAGCAAGGGTAGGTGAATTTTGTGGGGAGGTATGGTGAAAGTCTGATAGACAAGAAGACTACTAGAGGGACCAATACCCTTAGATAGTGGTCACTTCCACTTAGGTAAAGAAGGCCTAATGGAAGAGGTAAAATTTAACTTGATCCTTAAAGAAAGGGAATGTTATCAACAACAGCACTTATATAGTACCTACTGTGTGCCATGTAAGCACTTCAAAAATACTCTCATTTGAGCCTCATAACGAATCTATGAGGTAGGTGCTATTATTATTTACATTTTACAATTGAGGAAGTGGAAGCAAACAGAGGTTAAGTGACTTGTCCAGGGTCACATAGCTGGTAAGTATCTGAGGCTGGATTTGAACTCAAGTTTTTCCTGACTCCAGGCCTGGCACTCTATCCACTTCACAACCTAGCTGCCCTAGATCCTGGTAAGGTGGCTAAAAAAAGAATAAGGCAGTAGAGTTTAAAGGATGGGAAAATGACTAAGAAAAGAGGGGATGCACATGTATGTTTAGTCTGGTCAAAGTGGGGGAGAAGTGGAAAATCAGAATGAGTTGTTAGGTGAAGGCCTTGAATGCTAAAGCATTTGGACATTATCCTAGAAGTAAGGGGAAATCAAAGAAGGATTTTCTGTCCAAAGAAGGAGCAGCAGAGTGACATGATAAGAGGGGTATTTTAACAAAGATTAATTTGTTGGTGTCATATAGGGTGTATCAAGAGTGAAGGAAGGGGGGTCATTTAGGAGGCTATTGAAATAGTCTAGGAATGAGGCAGTAAAGGCCTGGACTGGGGCGGGGGGTAGACGAGGAAATAGAAAGGAAAGGATGGATATGAGAGACACTACATAAGAAGAGTCAACAGAGCTTAGTGACTGATTGAGTGGGAGGGACAAGAAGGAAGAAAGAGTGAAGAGTGACTTGAAGGTTGTTAAGCTTGGATGACTAGGAAAATGATGATACCACTGAGAATAATAAGGAAGCCGGTATGAGGGGAAATATGATGAGTTTGGCTGTAGGAATGCTCTCCTTCCCCTCTACAAACACATTCATATGGGGATAAGTTTGCAGGTGTCCACATAACCATATGTTTCCCAAATCCCATACTGCATTTTGGTAGATGGTAAAATTCTTAAATAGATGAATAAGACATTTTTCATAGCTAGGGCCACCAGTCCTTAAAAAAGGTTTATTTTTTACTAGTGTCTCTTAGTTAAATACAGTTTAAAAGAAAGAAAACCAAAGCTTTGCAACTTTTCAAATGGCATATATGTGTATGTGTGTATGTGTGTGTGTGTGTGTGTGTGTTTACGTATACATGTCATTCGGTGGTGTTAAGTTAACATTTTCGTTCTCCAACTAACACTTCAGAAAATAGTCTTCATCCTGGTCCCTTCTGCCTTTCCCTCATTGCGCCAACTAAAACTCTAGTCCCTTGAGGTAGGACCTGGCAGAGTAGGGGAACCTCTTTTCCTGGGGTCCTCAGCACCTCAGTAAATTCTTGAATAGTGTTTATGTCTATGAGCATGAACACTCAACTAAAATGTACGATTCTGTTATTCAATATTGTTTATGTTGTAGGCTCCCCACTTCTCCCCCGCCCCCGCTTTTCTGGAAGGTAGAGTCAAATTGAATTAAATGTGTAATGTAAAGTAAAATAATTATGCTTGAGTATTAGAATGGGAAAATAAAGGAATGTGAGATGTTTAAAGGGGTTCAGTATATTTTCCTCTTCCACACCCCTAAGCCTTTTCTGTCAAGGACTATAACCTGTTCCTTTCTAAAACATATTTAGCCTGCATTACCTGAACCACTTTTAAAAGCCCCACAAATATGGAAAGAAATTCAAATCTTTTTCATATTATACATAGTTACATAGGAGAGCATTTCCTTAGTATCAGTTTGTTTCCAGATTTTTAAGGAGGTAGCACAGCAGGGTTTCTCTGCTGAAATGTGTGTGTGTGTGTGTGTGTGTGTGTGTGTGCACACACACGGTAATTTAATTGAATGGCTTTATTTTGCTTGGTTTTTTTTTGGTAGCATACTTAGTATTTTATAATTCTTAATGGCTTTGGGAGCCACGATGGCGGAGTAAGAAGTCAATTGCTCTCACTGTCCCTTATTAACCTCTGAAAGCCCAGAAAATATCACCCCAGGAAAAACCCTGGAACAGCTCAACCAGCAGAAAGACGGGTGCAGCAGTCCAGTAGCCCAGGTAGCTTGAGGGATTAACAGGAAAGGCCCCTCTTGCCCTGAGGGAGGGGGAACAGTACAGAACAGGAGGCATCCCAGCAAGCTAGCAGAAAGCCCCACCTCAGTATACCAGGGGGAGATCCTGAACCTCAGGTGGTGGAACAGGCAAGCACCAACACCAGGACCCCTGAGTGCCTCAGTATGGGCAGGAGAACCAGTGGAAATCGACTCAGAAAACCACCACGTGCCATGGTGTGCCATGATAGCCAAGTCTCCCAGTGCCTCAGCAAAACTCTGGGAAGGGCAGCTCCAAGGGAGAAAGCCCCAGGCGTAGAAACATCCCACAGCAGTGAAAAATCCATCTATGAGGAGCCAAAGAAAGTGAAAGGAAAGACCCAGGTTACCAGGCAACCTCCAGGGGCCAGACTACCCAATCCTACCCCTAGAGTTCCAGTGTTGCTGATTCTAGCCCAACACCAGGTAAGCTGCCAGAACCCTACAGCCTCCAACTGCCAGAATTGGAGGCCCCAGCACACAAAGTCAGTGACCAGGCCCTAGGTTCCCAACACAAGAAGCTTGGGTCAGTGCACCCTGCTCCCCAGGGGGAGAGCTCAATCTTTTTAAAGGCCAGGAAATAAGCAAACATCATGAGCAAAAGGAAAGGTACCATAGATTCTTATTATGGGGGACAGTGAAGATGAAGGCAGAAATTCTGAAGAGGACAACATTGTCTACAAACCCACATCTGAAACCTCAAAAGGGAATATGAACTGGTCTGAAGCCCAAAAAGCCTTCTTGCAAGGGCTCAAGGAGGATTTTAAAAGTCAAATAAGAGAGGTAGAAGAAAAATTGGGAAAAGAAATGAGAGGTATGCAAGAGAGAGTCAATAACTTGGAAAAGAAAGGACAAAAATTAACTGAAGAAAAGAAATCTTAAGGGTCTTACTGGGACTCTCAGAATATTCTGAACTCCCTATCCAGCTCCCCCACAGTGCTCTAGGTTCCCTCTTCTTTCATTTGATCCCATTCCCTCCCAACTTTTCCTAGCACACTGTCCCCACTATTATTGTTTCTCCCTCCCCATCTCCTCCCCTCCTCCTCCTTCTCTCTCTGTGTCTCTCTGTCTCTGTTTCTGTCTCTCTCTCTCTCTCATCTCTCCCTATCTACTCATTCCTTCCCTGCTGCTGATAAACATGCTGAAGTCTCCCCCATCCTTAAAAAACTCTCATATCTCTTCTTTCCTTCTTATCTAAACTTGAAGAAGCCATCTATCTATCTTCCACACCCTCACCTCTTTTTCAATCTCTTCTAAACTTTACAGTCTGGTTTCTAACCTCATCATTCAACTGAACCTGCTCTCCCCCAAATTACAAATGATCTCCTACTTGTCAAATCTAATGACTCTCTCTCTCTGCTCATCCTTCTGGCTGTCTACACAACATTCGATACCATTGACCATTTTCCTCCTGGATGCCCTCTCTCTGGGTGTTTTGGTGTCTGCTCTCTGTCGGTTCTTATCCTACCTATTTGATAGTGCCTTCCTAGTCTTCTTTGCTTCTCCACCCATGCTTCATTCAGTTACTGAGGCTGTTCCAAGGTTTTGTCCTGGACTTTCTCCTCTTTTCTCTCCATACTCTCTCACTTGGTATTCACATCGGCTCCCAGGAGTTCAATTATTGTCTTCATGTAGATGATTCTCAAATCTACACAATCAGTCCTCTTTTCTCTCCTGAGATCCAGTCCCATACTACAATACCTTTTAAACAAATGTACTCCTCTTCAAAACCTCCCTTTTACTGTCAGGGAGAGCAACAGTTGTTCTAGGCATACAGGTTTGTAATCTTGGTGACCTACTTGACTCCTAATTTTTACCTGCTCCTCTTATATATACGTCCCCCTTTCCCCACTTCCAAGCCACTGCCCTCATTCAGGTCCTCCTGCCTCTTCTCAACTCCTCAACTTCCATATTATCATATGATCACATTATCCTTCTAGTCATTAAACTTCAATGGCTTTCTATTACTCCAAGGATTAAATATAACCTCTACTTTTTGGCATTTAAGTCTGTTCAAAAATCTGACCTTTTCCCTATCTTTTCAGTAGCTTTACTTTCCTCTGTGTCTATAGTCCAGCAATAGGGGCCTACTAGCTGTCCCTTACACATTATTATACGCCCTCTTCCAACCCAATACATTTGCACTGTCTGTCCTCTATGTCTGGAATGCTCTTTCTCCTTCCTCCCTTAACCTCCAGCTATTAGACTCCATGATTTCATTCCAGACTCAGCTCAAACACCACTTCCTGAAGGAGGACTTTCCCCATGCCTCCAGCAGAGAGTGTCTCCCCACTTTAATTCTACCTTCTATAGACTCTGGGTGGACCACTTCGGAAATACTTTATTTTCCTCATCAGAATGTAAGTTCCATGAGAGTAAGACTTTTTTTCTTTTTCTTTTTTTTTTTTTTATCTCCAGCACTTAGTACAGTGTCTGATGCAACTTAAGCACGCGTTCATTAGTTTGAAGGGAGCTGAGATCTGTTCAGACCAGAGGTGGGGAGCCTGTGGCCTCGAGGCCATATGTGGCCCTCTAGGTCCTCAAGTGCGGCCCTTCGACTGAATCGAAATTTCACAGAACAATAAAAGGATTTGTTCTGTAAAACTTGGACTCAGTCAAAAGGCTGCACCCGAGGACCTAGAGGGCCTCATGTGGCCTCGAGGCTGCAGTTCTCCACTTCTGGGTCAGAACCTAAGGCACTTCTACTCAGAAATTCTATTTTAACAGTTAGAGTAACAGTAATACAAATGAATATAGGCAAAGCGCTTCACAAACAAAGTGTTATATAAATGCTATTGTTGTTATTATCATATTTGAAACATGTATTATTCTTTCCTGTTTCATTGCACTTCTGCATTGTGATGCGCAGTATTGTTCTATAATTCCACAGTCCTAGTTTTACCAAATTATTAGTCAAATGATTGTGAGAAAATTGTAACTTCTGTGAGCCACAGTTTCCTTATCTGTAAAACAGAGAAAATAATATTTGCAATGCCTTCCTGCCCAACTTCAAAATGTTGTCATGAGGCTCAGAATGGATGAAACACTAGTGGAATCAAGCACAAGCTGTGCCTTGCAACCATGTGCCATGGAACCATAGAATGGTCCATGCTATGTTGCCATTTAGGACCAGGATCTAAGCTGGACACTCTGCTGTTGCAGCTTTCTCAAGTACTTTTTTTTTTAAAGGAATATTATCTAAAAGGGAAGAGACCGAGACATATGCCTGCACTGATGGAGCATCCTTTTCTTTCTCCCCTTAAACATTAATGAACACAACTATTTGATGATTTGATTGTTTCCAGTGTAGGATGACTTCTGGTTGTAAACATGCTGTTTTCTTTGGGTTGTTGTTACCTGGTATGTTTTAGTAATGCAACAGCTGCTGCGTTTCAATGGACAAAAGCCTTAGAGTATGTCAGAGGAAAGGCAGGCATTTTTGGACTTTAAACTTCTTAAACAATTCCATATGGAGATGTGAGTGGCAGGATTTTTTATTTAAACTTTCCAAGGGAACTGCTCACCAAATTCTGAACTTTATGAAAGCTCGCTTAAACATATCCTTTCTATAGTCTAGGTAGCCATCCCAGTGAAGGACCCAGAAGAACTCTAGCTGAGTCTGGAATGAAATCACAGAGTCTAATAGCTGGAGGTTAAGGGAGGAAGGAGAAAGAGCATTCCAGACATAGAGGACAGACAGTGCAAATGTATTGGGATGGAAGAGGGCGTATAATAATGTGTAAGGGACAGCTAGTAGGCCCCTATTGCTGGACTATAGACACAGAGGAAAGTAAAGCCACTGAAAAGATAGGGAAAAGGTCAGATTTTGAACAGACTTAAATGCCAAAAAGTAGAGGTTATATTTAATCCTTGGAGTAATAGAAAGCCATTGAAGTTTAATGACTAGAAGGATAATGTGATCATATGATAATATGGAAGTTGAGGAGTGAGAAGAGGCAGGAGGACCTGAATGAGGCGACCTACTTGACTCCTAATTTTTACCTGCTTCTCTTATATATATGCCCCCTTTCCCCACTTCCAAGCCACTGCCCTCATTCAGGTCCTCCTGCCTCTTCTCACTCCTTTGTGGCACTGCTCGGTGAGTGGTCGAGGGGCAAAATCAGATTGCATGATATACATACAGCATTGTGATGGTCATACACATACAGGAAAAGGAAAGCATTCTACCCATTGTAGACTTCTCCCTGCTCATTGCAAACTGCATGCAGACTGCTGATCTATATAATACGATACCGTATCACAGTGTTCTATACTGCATGCTATACTACACTATGCTATATCATAGTATATATCATATTCGAGTCATGCGAGACACCGTTGATTTGTACGTTTGTGATCATAACAGTGCCTTTCCTTGAAATATAATATTGGCAACGTGTTGCATAGATTTCAAGGTTCTATGACTTTTTTTGGGTGTGGGTCTGTCCTCTACAAATGTAGATTATAACCTTGCTTTGACTAGGCGGATGGTCTTGGAGGATTGCTGTGGCTGCGACATTTCGCATTCTATGGTCAGCCTGCTGATAAGCCTCTGTTATGCTGGGCCTCCGATGACGGGCATTTAATTTGTCGCTGGTGCATTCCTGAAGCTCTTCTTTTTGGTTTTGTTGTTGTTGTCATTTCAGTCGTGTCTGAGTCTTCATGACCCCATTTGGGGTTTACTTGACAAAGTCAAGTTTCCTTCTCCTGCTCGTTTTACAGCAAACAGAGTTGATTTGCCCAAGGTCACACAGTTAGTAAGCGTCTGAGGCCAGATTTGAACTAAGGAAGATGAGTCTCCCTGACTCTAGGCCTGGCACTCTATGCACTGTGCCACCAAGCTGCCTTTTCCATTTTCGTAGGATGTGCAAAAGCTTGTATTCCATTACAACAGTGCTAGAGAGTCCGAAGTTACCTCCTTACCAGGATAAGAAGTTGAAATAAGAGTTTAGTAGAAGAGGCATTCTCTCAAGAAGACAGAAATTTTCAAAAAGCCACCGTACAATATTAAATACAATATAAATAACCAATGATGGATAAGAAAGTAAAAGATGAAGCCATTTATGATCACTTACGTTGTTGATCATAAGGTGCATTATTGTTTTGGGAATCAGGTCTCGGATACACTTGTTGGTTATAGACATGTAGGAGTCTACAAGGTTGCGAATGGTTTCCACTTGTCTCTCTAATTGTGGGTCCATGGAAAAGTTTTCTGCTTGACCACTCTCATCATTGTCAGCCTAAACAGAAATAAAGACAAAACTGGTTTTAACAGTATCCCCTTAGTTCCAGTGTGGGGGAGGGGAACCTCAACAACATCAAATAACCAATTTCATCATGTCCAGTGTCTTTAGCATTTTTACCACTGAGTGGCAACACACTTTGTATTATTTCACACCAGGTCAATCTGCCGTAAGTGGGCCCTTGTAAGGTCAGAAGCAAGGTAATGTAGTGCCAAGAGTACTGGACTTGGAATCATAGAAGTTGGATTGTTCATCTAAATTTAGATAACATAATTTAGAATTTTAGATTAGGAAGCAAAGTTAGAGATCATTTATTGTAATTCTTTTAGTTTTGCAGGTTAAAAACCAAAACCAAAACCAAAACCAAGACCAAGACCAAACCTGTGGCCCAGAGAAATAAAGTGACTTGCCCAGAGTCATTTAGGTAATGAGCAACAGAACTGGAATTCGAACCCAGCTTCTTTAACTTCAGACTCAAAATTACTGCCTGGTTTTCCTCATGCCACATATTCAATCCATAGTCACATCTTGTTTCTTTCTTAAACATTTAATTAATTTATTTTTTCAATGAACATTTATTTTCTTTCTCTCCCACCTTCTTCTCTTGGGAAAAGGAAAAAGCAACAACATTGTAACATATATGTGTAGTCAGCAAATTTCCAAACTGTCACTTGCCAAAAATGTATGTCTCATTCCACATTTTGAGTCTATCCCCCTTCTGTCAAGAAGTAGGTAGCATTCTTCATTATAAGTCCTGTTAAATCATTGTTGGTCATGGTTAAGTCTTTCAAAGTTGTTTGTTATTGCAATGCTGTTATTGCATAAATTGTTCTCTCGGTTCTACTCACTTCACAGCATCAGTTCACACAAGCCTTCCCAGATTTCTTTGAAATAATCCCTTTTGTCATATCTTATGGCAGAATAGTATTACACTACATTCATATAACATAATTTGTTGGGCTATTCCCTAATTGACAGGTGCCTCCTCAGTTTTCAGTTCTTTGCTTCAACAAAGAGAGCCACTATCAATATTTTGGGACATACAGGCCCCTTTCCCTCTTTCTTTGATCTCTATGGAGTATAGTCCTGTTAGTGGTATTGTTGGATCAAAGGGTATGCCCAGTTTACTTTGGAAGCATAGGTTCAAACTGCTCTCCAGAATCACTGGACCAATCCATAGGTCCACTAGCAGTATTCCTGTTCTCCCATTGCCAATTCAACAATTGCCATTTTCCTTTTTTATCATCTAAGCTAATGTGTTGAGCATGCACGTGAGGTTGCTTTAACGTGAATTTCTCTAATTACTAGTAACCAAATATTGTTTCTAACATCATAGTCTCTCTCCTATATGAACCCTTCTCTTTACTCACTGCCACTATCTAGTTCGGGTCCTCACCATGTCTAGGCTAGATAATGGCAGTAGTCTTCTAATGGGTCACCCAGCTTAGGTCTCTTCCCTTTCCAATCCATCCTCCATTCAGCTGTCAAAGTGATTTTCCTAAAGGTAGTATAGGTCTGACCAAGTGATACTCCACCTCCACCCAATAAATGTCAGTGGCTCTCTATTACCTACAGAATCAAATACAAAGTCTTGTGTTTGACAGTTAAAAGTCTTCATAACCTGACCTTTCCCACCTTTCCAATATCCTTATACTTGACTCTCCTTTATGCACCCTATGATTCAGCTGCATTTGGTTGCTTACTGCCCCTTGGATACAACATTTTATTTGCCATCTCTGTCTCTGTGCTATTGTACTGGCTTTGCACCATGCCTGAAATACATTCTCTTCTAACCACTGTCTTTTAGAGTCCTTGGCTTCCTCAAGGTCTCAGCTGAAACATCACCTTCTGTGGGAAAACTTTCCTTTCCCTTCTCTGATACTAGCACCTTCCCCTCTGAAATATCTTTCAATCTACATTGTATATATCTTGTACATACCTACTTATTTACATGTTGTCTCATTAGAATGTGAGCTTCCTGAGGGCAAAGACTGCTACTGTCTTTCTTTGTATCCTTATGTCTTAGCAAAAGCTTGTTGACTGACTAACCTAACCACTCCTTTTCAGTCTCCTTTGCTTTTTTACCATCCAAATTATACTTTCTAACTGCAGGTATTCCCCAAGACTTTGTCCTTTTCTTTCCTTTTCTTATTCATCTATGCTATCTCTTTTGGTGACTGAATCAGCTCTCATAGATTTAAATATATCTCTATTAAGATGACTCACACACATCTAGCCCCAGTTTCTCCCTGAGAGTCAGTCTGGCATCGTTAATTGGCCACTGGACATTTTTAAATCGATGTCCTAGAGATACCTCTAATTCAGCATGTCAAAAATAGGACTCATTATCTTTCCCCAAACTCATACCTCTTCTAACTTCCCTCTTCTGTTGAAAGCACCACCATTCTTCCTGTCTACCAGATTCATAACATGCTATTCTCTCCTCCTTGTTCTCTCTCACCCTCATTTCCAGTCAATTTCCAAATCTTGCCACTTCAACTTCCATAGTATTTCTCATATTGGAGAAATTCTCTCTATTTACATAGCCACCACCTTGTTTAGGCCCTTACCACCTTTGGACAAGCTTATTTAAAGAGTCTCCTACCTGGTGTTCTTGCTTCAAGTCTCCCACCACGCCAGCCCATCCTCTGCATTGCTGCCAAAGATTTTCCATCAGTGCTGACCTGATCACATCAGTTGCCTACTCAAGCATCTCCAGTGGCTCCCTGCTGACTATAGGATACAACCTCAACTTCTTTCCTTGGCCTTTAAAGTAAGCCTCTTCTAACCTGGCTCCAGCCTTATTGGCCATTTCTCCTCTTCTTATACTTGGCAGTCCAGACAAACTGGCCTTCTCCCTATTTCTCATCTAAGATTCTCCATTTACTGTTTCCATGCCTTTTGTACTGGATGTTCACCATGATTGGGATGCACTACTTCTTTACCAGCTTACCTTTACCTGTTAGAATTCCTTTGTTCCTTCAACATGCAGCTCAAGTACCATATTTTGCATGAAACTTTTCCAGACTGTTCCAAAATTACTTTGTATTTAATTATTTTGCATATATATATGACTTATCTTTGTAATTATTCTGCATATAGTCATGTATATATATATATATATATACACACACATACTTGCATTTATATTAGAATATGAGCCTCTTGCCATTAGAGGGTGTTTCATTCATTGTATTTGTATTTCTGGTGCTTTACACAGTGCCTGGCACAGTGTTTAGTAAATGCTTGAATAACTGATTGCCATGACACCCCAACAGCTTCTCTTCTAATGGAGTTCTGAACTTTTGGGGAGAGACTAGAACTAACCCATCCCAGGGATTCTCTAGATTAGAAATGAGGTTGTGCTGGAATTCTTAGGTCTTTTCTAGCTTAGATCATGCTTTTCAGACTAAACCTGGCTCAAATCTGATTCCTCAGGGCTGGAATAGATGAACAATGGGAGGTACAGGGTACAATTGACCCCAACATTTGCTTTCTGTGATTTATGATTACTGTGTTTTTTCAGGGTTCTGCCACCACTACCAAACACTAGTTTCATTGCAAACATATTACAAATTCACCTGCCAACTTGTTCGTTGAATAAGACAAAATAAATAAATTATCTCTGCAAAGGAGAGTAGAGAAGTATCTGTTTTCTATATCAAGAAATCTGAGTTCATTAATTTTGATTTATAGGTAACAGATTGTATTAGTATGTCATCTTTGTCATTTGGTGTTAACCTATTGGCTTAGCATTGAAATCAGAACAAAGATTCCACATATAAATTCAGTTGAATTATCTAAGCCCCAGAATACCAGTATGTTACTATAATAGTATGGCTAATTTTAAATATGAATATAAAAATAAGGAAAATAATAATTTACTCTCTTCAATACTGACACAAAATAGAGATCTTTGGAAATGTACACTCTGATCTATTTCGATTTTAATCCAGTAGCAAATATTAATTGAACATCTACTATGTGCAAGGCACTATGCTAAGTATATTGTTTAATTGTATTTATAAATGACAATTCTCAAGTCATTACAAATTATTTATCCTGTAGGTAGGAAAGCCATAGAGCTAGAAAACAGCACAGAGATTATCAGAGGATAAGAGAAGAATCTCAGTGTTTTGGCAGTATTTTGAGTGGTTGTCATTACAATCACTTGCTGATTCCCAGAGTCACCATACATCTACAGATTCCTTAGGGGAATAATGATGGGGCTGCTCCAGAGAAATATGTTGTGGTCTCGTATGCTATCATAGGGAAGAGAAGGGATTTTTTTCTTGACAGCTGTTTTCCCTACAACTTGGAATTTTCCTAGAAAATGACTTCTTTGGTCATTGGTAAAAAAAAAATGATAAACCAAGTCTCCTAGGAGATTCCTTGCCTGAACAGGAATCTCATCTTTGTTTTTATTATTTTTTGGGGGGAGGGGGGCAGACGAGAGGTAGAAGGTAGGTCAGAATTAAGGCCAGAGAATAGGATATGGGGTACAAGAGGTAGCAAAAAAGGCAGCACAGAGGAGAAAGGGAGGCAGGAAAGGTCAATATTGTTTGTATCAAAATTGGCCAAGTTTCCAAATCTGCTCACTGAGTTTCATGGTGTAGAAATAATTTTAAAATCAGATATTTATCCAGAATGCAACTATTTCTGGGAATAATAAGCAAAAGTGTCTGCCTTCAAATACTCTGGAACTTGAGTTATATGCAGTTATGGGTCACTTAAAAATTCAAAATATAAGACCATGATTTAAAACAAAGTGGAGACTGATTATACATATGATAAAAGTGTGTCTTGTTTTTGTCCAAATATGGGACTTTCCTACTTTGTTTGAAATGTTTTTTTTAAGTGAGTGCTTGACAGAAACTAGAAGGCACAGAAACCTCACATTAAAGTGCTAAGAGCTACTATCAGTGGACAATCTGTAAAAAATGAAAATAAAATGTTTGTGAAAATATGCCTTTCAATGAGGAAATATAACTAGTTTG